GCAGTGGATTTGGTTTTGAGAGCACTTGAAATTCCTACCACAAGCCTCACTGGGGCCTGCCTTGCCTGAAATGCCTACACGGCCCTCCCAAAAGACCGCCAAGGACTTGTTATTTTCTTTATCTACTCACCCCCTCACCCTTGTGTGCCTTCCCCACGGTACCTCTCACACAGTGACATTCTATACTCACCCACTTGCAGCAGATAAGAAGATGCCAACGGACTTGAGCAGCCTGTTGAGGCATGTGCTGTACGTGTAGCTGTTTGACAAGGCTAAGGAGGGATTTACAGACCATCGCGGTGTCCCCCAGACAGCCTTTGGCAATGTGGAGGTCTGAAGTGGGTACTCTCTCTGCAGGAGAGCATGGCCCTTCCTCTCACAGGCGTGCAGAGGCAGCACGCTCGTCCCTATGTGAGAAAAAACACTATTTCTAGGTCCCTGAGAGACGGGTTACATGACTTTCCCTTCAGTTCCATCTTTAGATAGCCTTTTTTTTTTTAACCCTGCAGAACACGGCTGGATATGGATGTCCCCATACAGAAGCTTATTCTTTAAACAAATTTTTGGTAGAGAACTTTCCCTTCCTCTCCATCCCACTACCACACGCCACCTCCAGCTGTCCAAGGAAACAGATACGTCATCCTGAGCCATGCTGTTAGGCGAGCCAGAAACAAGCTGGCTCCCTGGGAGAACTCCAGCTCCAGCTCTGGTTCTGTCTTGCCGTCATTGCTTTTAATGAAGTTGTCCAAGATGCGGCTTCGAGCAACTTTGTGGGCACTATCCCATTCCTGCAAGAAAACCATGAGCTTCCTGATGGCTTCCTGCTCTTTGACAGAAGTCATGATCTCTTCTGCCTAAAGAAAAGTGAGAAAGAAGTTAGAAAAGGGCTTTGAAGATAGAAAAAGTCTGTACTAAGGAATTACCACCAGAATTACATTAAAAATCTCTGGCAAATAATATTAAAGCACTTACTAGTAATTTAATCTCATTTTCCTTTACACTCATTTCATAGATAGGAAAACTGAGGCAGAAGGAGAGTTCCTGGTATGTCTGAAGCTGCACAATGAGCCTGCGACAGACTTGAGATTATTTTCCAGGGCAGGTGGCTTCACCAGAGGAGCTCTCTTCTCTGCTCTGTTAATAAAGTCATTTACCCATTACCCCAGCCTTGGTTTCTCGCTAGCCTCATGATATGAACACTGCGTCTCATATCTGACCTGCCAGAGAATAAATAGGGTGAAATGAGAGCACAAATAGGTATGGATTTATGGGGAGTGACAGGGTCAAGGGGGCTGTAAATGCCTGTTAGCACAGCAGCGCAGCATGCCCTCACTCACGTGATGGAGCGACAGTCATTTGGACTGGGCCTACATGCCCTCCAGGAAGATGTGCTTGGCCTTGGCAGTGGGAGAGCGCTTTGGGACCCTTTGGCATGACAGGCATTTGCTCTGCTTTTTCCTTTATCTAATTTCTATGGCGTGTTTTTAAACTATCTAAGAAAACCTGAAATGATAAGAACTATATGCAAGAAGACAGAAGCTCCAGAAACATCCCTTGCCTGCACTTCCTTCTATCCCTTCACACAGGTGTTAAATAAAGCAATCCATATTTTGCCAAGTTTCTTTGGCACGCTCCTGGCTCGGTATGATATCCCCTGTTCCAGCCTGACAAATGTGAAGGTGCACTTAGTAGGGGGATGCAATGTCAGAGGATTAAGCTCTCTGTTCATTCAGGTAGGTGAGAATTCCACCGACACGTATGCGTTCGGCTTTCAGACACTGACCAATCTCAAGGAGCCTCACAGTTAAACATCAGTATCTGTGTACATACACAGATGCAGAAAAAGGGACAAGGTCACAGACAGCTGCATTAGCACAGGCACGTTGTCCTCCACCAAGCTGTGTCAACGTGCCTGAGGATAAGAAAGGAATTCACGCCTTGTCTAATACAGTTCTTGGACTTCCTACATAAGAAAAGCACCATTTTAGGTTTTATTTAAAGTGTGGTTTAAGAGAAAAAAAATGAAAATGACACAAAATCTTTGGGTTTCAGAATAAGAAGTTTCTTTCAAGGTAATACAAGTCACCAAGATTACCAATTTCCTATCTACAAAGATCTTGAGCCTTTTCTCCTAGAACCTGGAGCAAAATTCCAAATCAGTTCCAGAATATCCCCAAGATACCTGCTCAAAAGTAACGTTCTATTGCTGTTATCTGAACTAGACTGAAAATAATGACCAAGAGGTGAACATGCACCTCGGTGCCTGAAAACAAACAAACGAAGTCTTCAAAAAGCTGGCTATGAAACAACGTTTGAGAATTAAGATGAGATGAAATTTCATTTGGGAATTAACGGTCTGTGCTCTGTAAGGAGTCTGTGTCCTTGGCAGGGCGTTTTCAGGATCTCCTTTGCAGGGAAGCAGGTTTAAAATAAATCCATTTTCCCAAAATAGTTGTGATTGAAAATGTTATTAGCCATAACAAATGTTAGTGCTGACAGGAGAACGGCCTGTTAGGGGCCTCTGGTGAAACAGTCAAGTGAAAGTCATATTTCACATTATTGCGAGCATTTTCCTGTGATTTACAGAATATTTGTGAAACATTACTTGCAAGGCATATGATTGATATTGAGAGAACAGCTAGTGTGTAGGGGGAATCTGTATTTCACAGAGACTGTTTGCATGAAATTTACAGTCCCATAAAGTGCTCCTCTATCCTCAACAGAGATCTAGTTAAAAGAACTTTACAGTCTGAAACATCCCAAAATTGATTCTAAATTAACGTTTCCATATTTGCGTTTAAGATGCTGGCAGTGTAATGCTATCCTATTTTTATTATAAAGCTGCAGTAACCCCCCACTATTCAGAAATACCAGCACCAGCCTCTGGACGTGAGGATTTTAGTGATACAAAGGGCTTGCCTACGAATCAATGGCAAAAAAAAGAAGAGTTTGAAACAATAATCACATGAGGCTTCTGAGGATACAGTGGTATCTGCCCCTGGCTGCTATAATAACAGCGTCTGCTGGCATAGTAGCCTTTAAGCCGACATTGCAAAGTGCCCTGAAAATGTACATGAGTATTTTTATTATGACCATTTTACATATGGGAACATGCAGAAACAGGGAAGTTAAATGACTTGCCTGAGTGGTTTGTCAGTGCTAGCATCAGCACATAACTCCTGTTTGTTGGCTTCAAACTCTGCTCTCAACAGTGCTGGGCTGCCACCTCAGTCCATTGGACCTAATAATCAAAACAAGACTGGGTCAGGGCAGTGCTTTTTTCCTGCCAAGAAACACACAAGTGATTTAGGAACTGGCTCTGGCAATTCAGCAGTTCTTTACATCCAGAGTGCTGCTAAATCATCAGATTGAGATCAAAAGGCAGATTGGTGCTGCATCAGCTGCGGTCTGAGTGTGAGGTGCCAGGGACTGATGGCCTTGGACTCACGGAAGGACAGAGTGACAGTGATTTGGTGCTACCTCTGCATCTTGCAACATCAAGGTTGTGCCCAGCCTCAAGTAAAACTGCTGTTTCCCTAGCAGGCTTCACCCTCTCCTGCCGTACCTCAAGTCCCCCACAACCCTCCTGACACACAATATACCTTCCTCAGTGTACCCCAATGCCTTCTACCCAGCCCCTATCAACCCACAATCCCGCTGGCCCCTCTCTCACCTACATGTCCTGCCTCCCAGCCCCACTGTTAACCCCAGCCACAACCAAACCAACC